GAAACACTTAGCACAGATGAAGCATCATGCCCACACACTTTGGGATTTCTGCTGTCAAAGTCACGTTATAAAGATTTCAGCAAAGTAAAGAGAGCAGAGAGTACATTACAGTTTGTTTGCTCAATTTCTCCCTACTGACCATGAAAAGGCTCCTCCGGCTGACTGCACTGCTAACCAGAACTAACACACTGCTCATGTGAAACGAACTGCAGACCAATCCAATGGCAATCTAACGCTGTCAAAATGTGTTCGGAGCCAATTTTAAGCTGTAGCATGTGCTGTCTTACAAACAAGGATAGTGCTTTGTTCCTGGTAGCTAGCAAGAAAACGGCCTGCAAAGCAAGGATGAATGGGGGAGAGCGTGGGGGGGGGCACACAACAAGAACCATGCTTTTGATTTGTGTTTAAAACAATCGTCCCAGTGTCCTTTCCTATTGAATGAGCTGCAAGATTTACCCTTCCAAACACCAGCCGTCCAAATACTGTGCACTCGCACAATGCTGCTGCTGTTCAGGGTCATGAGAGGGAGTCTGCAGTGCTAGCAAGTTGTCCCACGTCTGTAAAGGGGGGTCCAGAAGAAGAATTATAAAAGCTCTCAGAAGGGAAATCACAAACCCTCCTGACTTGCAATAACAGTACTTTTTAGCCCAAGGTATCAAAGCAGTTTTTATCTGTCAATCAAATCTATTTTAGGCAAGGAAAGTACTGCTCTAGATGACAGCACACCTAAAAATTCATCATTCACGGAAGCAACAATGGAACAAGTACAGAGAACTTTAGCAGACAAAACTCAACAATTTGCATACACAGCGCTAAAGCTAGAAGAGGAGACAGCAGGTATTACTGCGCAGGGATCATGCTTCATATCATTCTAACAGAAACACAAAGAAACATAGACAATCATGTACTATTCTGCAACAGCACACAGTTCCAATACCATACAATCATGTAATTATATTAATGCAATCTACTGTATAACAAAAGTGAGTTTTCATAGTTCAAAAATCGAGAAAAGCAAAAACTCAGTGATTTTCCTTTCTGTTTCAGTAACACCAGTGACAGAGATATCAAACTATTTGATGCAACTTGTTTAGTTTTATATTATTAACAGCACTTATTCATCCATACTAAAATTAATACAGTCTTACCTGTATCGCACATGAAAGGAACGATCTTCACGCATGCTTATCAAAACAGTACTTTCCTCCATTGAGCTGCATTATCAGTAGAGAGAATACTACTGCTCTGTAGTACGGTAAGTACTTTACTACGGAGAATTGTTGTCAGAACACCATTCCAGTTAGTATATTAATAAGTTGGGAGTAAAGTTATCCTAAGCTGCTGCTGAAAAACTCTTCTTTATTACTAAGGTAAGGAGGTCACTGTCAGACACATCTTAGACCTTCAGAAACGTGTTCAAGTTCTTTCATCTGTGGCCCTTTAAGTTCCATTCAACTGCGTTTCTGCAAAGGGAACACAAGATGCTTGGCTTGAAGTCTCATAGTCAGTTAATAACGCATAACCACTTGCAGCTGATGTAAAAGCATAACACTACTCCTACCGAGCAGGAAGCAGCAGTCAACTTAAAGCCAGAGCCAAAAAATTCTACATACACATGGCAAATCCTGCAGGCAAGCGAGAAAGCAAAGAAGGTTAACCGAAAGCAGCGTGCTCCTTCTGTTAGCAACTTTGAGTAATTTACCCTTGTTAGTACTCTTTGGCCTCATGAAGTTCCAGGCAAAAAGCTTAAAGGATGAAAGCCATAATATAAAACAGATCACAAACTGCTTTACAGATAAACAGTACTGCTGAAACCCCGACAGCCTGCCGAACTGACATAATCCCACCTGCAGATCATCCATTCCAGAGATCATTCCACCCAGAACATTACGAGCACAGAAGCCAGGAGAGGTTTAGCCTCTATTCCCCTTTCCTCTCCCGGCTCCCAAAAGAAAAGGGAGGAAGGGATGGGGGTTTTTGGTCTTTTGGTTTTTTTTTTCATTTTTTTCACTAGCTTCACATTCCAAAATGCTGCAGCACTGTCATATGAGATCCAAACGCCACTTCAAAGGGATTGCAGCAGCCAGCACTTAGACATGATCAGGCTGGCAGAGAAAAGATGAACAGAAAAGAAATTCTGTATTCAAAAGTTTACCCACTTTTAAGTATATTTTTAATAGAGGAGCTGACATATTTATTGCTCTGTACTAATGTTACCTTCCTTTGCAAGTAAACATATAGTTGTGTAATTCACAAATGTGTATTTCATCAAGAGACTGCAGAGATGTCAAAAGACAAGAACAGAGCTCAGGTTTAAAGCTGTCACCAGAAGAAAATGCAACCCCCTCTCTTTTTACTTGTCCATGAGGGCCATGCCTTTTCCTCTCATTAGTTTTATCAAGTACCAGCTGTGAAGATTCATGTGTCCTATGATACTCTACCTTGACAGCACTCCTCAAACAGACCATCCACATTCTTCCAGTCAAACAACTACTTTGCCTTTCCGTGCTCATCATTAGAATTATTTGGCACCAACAAGTGGGTGTGGGTATATTTTTGCAATTACAAAGCATGACACATACAGTTTACAATACCATTGCAACCCACGTACCAGGAAGACTGCATTACAGGTATTTACTCTCCGGAAGTTTGTCCGAACCTCAGATCGGGTAACTCATACAAGCAGATAGCTGTAAGCCACCCAGGCTACAGCAATCACCCATGAGCATTCCCGCTGCTCAGAAAAAGCAAGGGAATTGAAAGTTCTCTTCCACAGATCGATACACATGCCCACTACTACATGCCACAAACGAAAAAGCGTTGTACTTTGGCAACTGCTGTGGACCATGAAATGACGACTGTGGTAATTTGTCTATTTATGCTGTAATTGTAATTAACTGAATTATTTGTTTTAAGAAGCTTTTTAAAAATAAAAAGCCAAATTTAACAGAAAACTACAGTTCTATTTAAAAGTACATCAGAATGACTCCGTTTATTTAAATACCAGTTATTATTAGCAGTACATTTCACATCAGCTGTTGATAACTTCATTTTATCTGAGCTATGCTTCTGTCCTCATACTTAACCTCATCCTCTGACCGATGCCACCATCTCCCACCAGCTGGAATCACTATTCCTGCTTTCTTCCCTCCTTATTGGCCATACAGCACATTCCTGGTCTTGGGAGGGTGATACGGACACACTCAAGTAGGCCAACCCATCATGATCACAGATCCAACAAAAATTACTGGGTCTGGTCTTCACACCTCACTTCCTTCACCCATGACTCATTAGGATCTCAAGTTGTACCTTCAACCATGCCAACATGTAATCAGTAAGCAAACTCAAGCATATTAATTAGAGCGGTTAATGCAAAATTCAGCAGGTGGAAACTGATGAGCCCTTCCACAGACAGCACCTCTCGGGCATAAACTGGCAGGATTATACCATAGCAGGTAAACCCTGCTCTGATGCACCTTAACTGTTTCGAATATCTCCAGGTAGCCTCTCTGGAGCCAGTGACCAACAAGAAGCTGACTCAGAGGACACAGTACTTCAGCAGAAAAGCCTCGGGTATTAGCAGCATGCAGGAGAAGTTCTACCCTGTGGGCATATCTAACAGGGAAACGGGCTTTCTCCTGAACTGGTGTTTTTAATTAAAACTTCATGTAGCATGAAAAAAGCACTTGGTGCTTACTAGGAAAAAAAAAAATCTGTATTAATGCAAAGCAGCTGCTTTAAACTTATTCTCACCTTTGAACAATACAAAATCCATATCCGTGTTAAAGAGCTGCCTTTCAGGAAAGCGTAAATAGAAAACTGAAGTTGTATACACACCTTTAAAGTGCACAGTTCTACTATTCCACCTATCAAATGCAGGAAGTCCTGGATTTCTTGTAATTTCAAAGTACCAGAAAAAAAACCACACAGAAAAAAGATGTGGCCTCCTTCAGAGGTGGACAATTAAACGAACTGCTGTTTACGAATTACACAGCGGTACGATACCAAAACCAACACCCCTGTCCCACCCCGCCAAAATCAAATAAAGCAAGGCCGAAGTTAGGCGGTCAGATGTGGTGGCCAGCTGATACCCCACAACAGACAAAACACGCACTTTATCAACTCTTGCTAGGAGCAAATGGTGAGCCGTACCTAGGGCTTATCCACCTGGTCTAGAGACAGCTAAAGGATCTTCAGTTAAACCATCAGTAAAAAGCTACCTTTGCCTCAGTTAAAGCTTCATCTGAAAAATGTTCTTATCACTGTCAAAAAGTCACTTCCCTTTCTTTTCTATGTAATCACAGATTTATGTAGAAGCTATATAGATACAGAAGCTTGGGGTTTGCATGGCATGAAGTTTTAAGACTGAATTCCTTACTAAATTCTATGATACTACTTTTAACTCAAGTCTCTGAAATGGCATGGAATCTATTAACTTAATTTTGGCAAATTTTATGATTAAATAATAAAAAAAAATCACAGCAAAATACTAATGCTGCATACTGGAAGGAATCCCACACAACAATGCTTTAAAAAGCGAAACCCCATCACGCTTGCACTTATTCAACCTTTTTCATAAGATTATCATCAGTGTCCTCAGGAAGGGAACCAAGGCCTAAAGGCTGACATTCAGAGAAAGCACACTTCAACCTTCCCCTAACACCACCCAACTGAAACAGTGATGTGTATGCTGAGACTTGAATGAGGCTTGCTCGCTCTCAAGAAAAATTACAGAAGCAGCCAAGACTCCCCCATCTTCAATTCTGATCAATATATTTCAAGTCCCTGGCAGCAATAAAACAATAGATGCAATTTCTTTCTCAAAAGCCTGTTATGCAAGCTAATCGTCCTAGTTATTACAACTTCCAGACAAGCGTTTCATATTTTAAGGCATTTTCCATTTCAGGAAAGATTCGATCACACACTATGAACTTTATCACAATGGTAGGCAATCATTTTAATCAGTTTGCAGTTCCCTGTTACACTGAACATCTACGATAGACCCCTTCATTTTAACTTTTGATAGAATACGGTATTTCCACACTAGAGAAAATGAATTGGCAAGCAACAGAAAGCCAATACTGCTATTTATTAGCAGTATATAGAGCCAATAATCACCGTGTAGTTGGAGACGGAGATGTTTTTTTTCCCCACATCTCCTCAAAACAGTACATTTCTGCAGCTTCATCGGCTCCTTCCCTCAACCCATACCTTCTTTTCTGGAGTTTGTCAGATCATCAGAAGCGTTGCTTTGCTCATCTGCAGTTACATGGCTGGCATATGCCGAACGGTCACTGCGGGGCTGACAAGCAGGGTATCTGATGGCTCAATTCTTTCTGCCTCTCCCTAAAGGAGTAATGCCTTCTCCACCCATCTGCTATATTTCACAAAGCTATAGGAAAGGAGCATCTGCCAAATGAAATCATCGTTGACTAAGAAATTCAAAAGCTACTAGAGGAAAGTACAGATAGAGGTAGACCAATTGCACAAATTGCATTTCCTTAGAAAAAACAGCTACAGAGATTTGTTGCTTCAAGATTAAGGTAAATTTCCCAATGGTGAACTAAGTTTGAATTTCCTTTCAAGGAAGGGGCTATAGCATGGGTGGGGAAAAAAAGGAAAAGAAGCTTTGAACTGGATTATCTAAAAACAAAACAGAGCTTTGCATACCCTATGGAGAAAGAGGCAGACCAAACAGCAACAAAACTAAACTGACAATTCTATTACTGAAACATAGGTATTAGCTTGGTTCCTGACCTTCAAAATATAAACCGGCGTATAAACACTAATAGTATAACAAGTAACACTCAGGAGTAGACAAACCATAACTTTAGTCTTCAATGCTGTCCAAGGATATTTTTAAAATTCACCTGAATTAACAAATAAGCCTAAAATAAGGCAAAAAAGCCCTTAAAATTCTGTATCAAGTTTAATATTTTATCTACATAGTAAACAGCATCATCATTAGCATTTCTTTAGTAATAAATGTTCCCCTGGGAATGAACCTTAAAATAACTGTATGCCATGTTGGGAAAAAGCTATTTTTTCCAAACCTTCAGCATAGAACAATACAAGTGACTAGTCACGAGCGTGGATTATGCAGATACAAGAAACACTACTAAAACCAGCGTGGTTACTCTTGGAAGCTTAATTTTAAGCTCCTCTCTGCGTCACTAAGGCTAGATAGGCATTTCATTACCAACATTAAAACACAAGTCTTAATGACACAAGTTGTTTCTGCCAGATCATAAAAAAAACTATTCCAAACAACTGTAATACCTGAATCCAGAAGCATCTTCCTTCTCAGAGTCAGAAAGAAGCTTGCCTGCATTCTTAAGGGTTATTTTTTTTTTTTCCTTCTATATGAAACACCCAAGCAGTAGATAAAAACCTGCATATACACTATGGAACAGAGAAACATGTATCACACCAAAAACTAAAGAAAAATTTAAAACGTTCTGTCAGGGAACATTAAAATTTCTGGCCAGAATCCAGTATCTCTGCTCACACCAAACACTCTCTTTTCACTCAGCAATCAGACTGAAATGTAAATACATTCCTTAAAATGGAATAATTAAGAACAGAAAGATGCCAGAAACTTAGGAGAACGACACAATACGTAAGTGACAAAACACATATCTCCTCAGTGCTAGTATATTCAGAGTACTGTCCTGGTTCCAGGGCAACTCTGTTAACTTTAGTAAATGTGAAGATGCCCTATTAGGCATAGTAAGGGTATAGTAAAGGTTTTTAAACAGACGTATTTAAGGCAATGATGCAGGCCATATAGCAACTTAGGTGTTTCAGAACATATCGCAGACAACAGCAGACAAACAGCTAGTGCACACAATTCCAGTGAGTAACACAAAGAAGCAACAAATGCATGTTAGACTGGTATCTGAGTGTATTAAATAACCAGTGTTTAATGATGCAAAGGTGGACCTCTCAGTGCCTCTATCACAGAGTATCTTCCCAGAACAGAACATCCTTTCTCTAAGACAATCAATATATGGCTGGAAATTAGCTTGCTACTTAATGTACATAATTACTGTCTGGTGTGGAAGTTAAAGAATTGGGTGTAGCTAGCACAAGTAACCACAAGCATTTTTATTACAAGGATATTCCTGCAGATAGTTTATGTAAGCCATCTATTTAAATCCTGAAGTAAGGCAATCCCACACCGTGACAAAATAAGAAAGGAAGAGAACATGAAGTGCCAGCAAAATGCAACTAATGTCCCCATAATAAAACTAATCAGGCAATGGAAAACAAATTCTAAATGCAGCAAGATTAAGATTTCAGATACAAGAAGACAGTAGAGTAACATCCTCTCTTTGCCTTATAAAAAGAGCACAGTCGGAATAGCTGTTAATTTTTCACATATTTGATACATCGAGGTATCAGGATTCCTTCACTTTATTTTTTTAGCAGAACGAGTTCTAAGTTTTTACATATTGTCATTCATGGCCTGAAAGCAAATATTCTGTTGCCTTCTTTCCAAGCATCCCACAATTGGAGATGAGATCTGCAATTTTAAAGTGCTTAAATGCCACAATAGACTTCAATGACAGTTCACAACAAAGTACTAACTTGTGATTCTTTTATTCTTGGCATTCGTTGAAATCATATTACCACAAAAGCAATAAGAGTTTTGTTTCTAAGTTCTGAATGTAAATTTGAACACTGCTCCTTCTGCTTATTAGGGACAACCTCATAACACAAATTAACATAGACTAGATCTCAGGCCTCTCCCAGCCAACAAGACATTTAATCAAGCACCTTCAGTTCGGGAAATGGAGCACGTTATACAACGTGAAAGAATGCCAGATGGGAAAAGTTCAGCACAAAACGTTGACTATTAATACTTAAGCTGATAGAGAAAGTTGATCACAAATCTCTCCACTAAAATGTTTCACTTGCCTCCTTCTTGGCCTGTAACATCTCTTAAAAAAGAGATCCTGGTAAGTAAAAGAAAGACGACAGTTACACAAGCATCTTGCAGAGAAAGGGGAAAATTGAGAGTCTAAATCAAAAAAATGTTTTTAAATCCTTAGAATCCCTGGCAGTAAAACACAATAGCCATTTCAGTGAAGCAATATAGCTGCTATTTCAAATGTCCTATTTCACACTGCGATGCTCATTCAGAGATTATGCAGGCATTCAGCATAAAGAACTCATTACCACTCCAGCAAGTTTTTATCCTGCAAGGAGCAGATGCAGCTCTCACAGAACCTGCGTTACACAACTTCAATGATCCACGGCAGTTTAGTGCCAGCAGCACCACCTGTGCCCCTCAATTCCCCAGTATTAGCAGCAAGTATTAACTGTCTTCCCTATTACGAGTTTACAACTGAACAACATATGGCTACAACCTGCAAAAACTGCAAAAGTGCACGATGAACACATACTACAGTGAGAAGGACACGTGTTGTTTTTTCTCATTGTTTGCTTCCTATAGACACAGGTACAGTTTATTTATGGCACATCACCCATGTAGAATTAAGGCAAAAAATGTTTGTTAAGGTGCCAAGTTGTAAACCGCTTTGCGTATTTATTCTAACATCCGGGATGTGGGTGCAAATCAATTCAAAAGCTAGTCAATGCATTTTTTCAGCCTGTGTGATGAACACTGAACTGGATTCCATTTTGCCCCCATATTTATCCACTACATTTACATATTACCACACAAATACGTTTGGTCACAGGTCCTCTAACCAACCAGCGATTGCTAGGTAAGGTACAGGCTCCAAAGTGTTGCATGCAAGGAACAAAATTCCTAACGGTATACCAGCACAACGATAGTAGAAAAAAAAAAAATGTACTAAACAGAAATAGTAAAGAAATAAAAAAGATTTAGAGAGGCTTCTTTGTAGACCATGTATGGTTTACATTCCCTGTAACTCAGCTGCATGCAAGTTTTCCCTTCCTATTAGTAAAAGGTTTAAAAATACACAAAAGTTTTATTATATGACCAAGAACCATATTCTTCAAACACTGCCAAATTTGAGTCCCAAGAGGCAGCTTGACATTAATCATCTGTTCAATACTACATAAATTTCAGACCATCTCTTACCAGTTTTTCCACTTCTCTTTTTCCTGTATTTTACATTCCTTATGTTGTGGTCTTCCACAAAAAAATACTTTATTTATTTTTATAACGACATTTGTATAGCTGACTTGCTGTTAAATGCCTAAATAAAAGTTAAGGTTTTTTTTTCCTTCACCTGGTATCTCTCTGTTCTTTCATTCACATGAATTGCAACTGCAACAACAGGCTAGTCTTTCAGAAAGTCCTAAGATCAATATTTACTCCTTAAACACAAACAATTTCATTAGGATGTTAGCCTTAAATACTACTAAAACCAAGACCATAATTACCAGATCTGGGCAGGAATGACTGAGTTGCCGAAAGCGAAACTAACCGCACGACTGCTACAAAAAAATGAATGACAAAAAGACAAAAGTACCAATATCTCTGGTATTAAATTTAAAAAGTGGAAAACCAGGAGAAACTAAAAACAACCTTATTTTAAGCAAAACAGAAGAATCCAGATAAACTGCATAAAACAAGAAATCCCCCCCCCCATGTTCAATAGTTAAAACTATGGACAGATAGCATTTATGTTTAGAAAAGACACCCATTTCTTAATAAAACTTTTCCTTCCTAACTAATGGGGAGCCCAGCTACTCTCCAAATCATAATGCTCATGGGGACCTGAAGAACACTGGTTTAGAAAATTGGTCTGCTGTCACTTGTTGCCAAGAAAAGGCTGAGAATTTACATTAGAAACTGTTCTAGCACACTACGAATAAATTCCCATGCTGACAAGGTGTAGGAGGGAAGACTCATGTTCAAAATTTTGCTGTTTTCCTCTGCAACATGCCAAAATAAACGAGTTTTCTATCTTTTTGCAATGCTTTCACTCAGCATTCATGCTAGAAGAGACTGGCTTGCTGACTACCAAAAGCAAGTCTAAAACAAGAAAGAATTGTGGTTTCTAAATATTTCAGAAAAAAATAAAAGAAAAAAATTAACAATTTAAGCCACGTGACAACGAGAGCACAAGAACAAAGCGGTAAGATGCCTATTAATACCTTTTCAAAATTACTTTGATGTAATCGTAAAGTTCTGAAGTAACTCTCCAGCAAGAGTAGCGGGAATGTATGATCTTAAGTGCTTTAAGCTGTCTGAAACAGTTAAAAGAGCATTTCAGTAACAGCGCTTTACGTAAAGGGACAGGCAAGACCCCCACAGGTTTTTTCTAGCCCAGTAACACTGTCTTAAGTTTCAGGTAAGCTTTGTCTCAGCTTTATATGGAAGTAACTTGAAGTATAAAGTCCTTCCATCCGAAGAGGGATGCATAACCACAGTTCAGAAGCCCAGGTAATCATTAACGGAACTAGTAAAAAGGAACACTGGCATTTTCAGCTCTAATATAATTTTTACTTAAAAGGTATAAAGTTTTCAGATACAATTTAAGGAGGCACTAGAATCTCTTAACTCATCTTTTTGAGGTGCAAGACTCAGCATGTTCTTCTAAATTCTGAGATGGCTGCGCAGCTCTCCATGGCAACCCAGGATGCACGCGCCCCGCAGCCCGCTGCAGCCTGCTGGCAGGAACCGAAGAGGAACGCTTCTGAAGCAGAAGGCAGGCGACAGCTTCGAGGTGGGGTACAACCTGTGTCTTTGCGATCAGGTCAGTAAGGGGATGAAGAATTCCTGAATAACCACAGCCCTCCGTTCAAAAACTGAGTAAGCAAAAGAAGAAGGGGAGGCACTGGAGCAACGAAGGCTACAGCCTAGTGGATAAATGAGGTTTGGTATAGTTGACCTTAGACATGCCACAACGTTTCTAACTCAAATTCTTGAAGAGTTTGGAACTTGTTCCTTCTACGCTTCACCTTTCACAGCATGTTTGCAGGTGCCTTTCTTCCCCCTGCTTCATTCCTCCCCGGAAAATTTTATTTACTATTTATCACATTCATCTATCTTGTTAAGCGCAACATAACTGACCGAAGGTACCTGACGTGACGCCTTTTCGCTCCTAACTCGCTTCAGAGAGACAAGGGCGCTCTCCCCGGGACAGCCGACCGGCCCGCGGCAGGCGTGCCTCGCCTGTGCTG